TTACCTGTCTCCACACCACACTTTGCTTAATATGATCATTTGTCAACCAGCCATCAGCAGGATGGTGCAAGAGGCTCTAACTCAACCAGGACAAGAGGGAACCCAGGAACAATTCACCTACCAGAGGCCCAGGGATTGAGAAACGCCGGGACTGGGCAATGATGGCACAGGTCCAGCTGGCGCAGGTCTCCAGCCCCTCCCAGCCCCCAGCACAGGGTGTTTCCTCTCCTCTGACTCCGTACTGTTCCAGGGGCACAGCACCCAGGTATAAGCTGTGAGGAGGACTCAGATGCTACCTAGGAACTCTGTCTTCCAAAAGGAGAACCCCAGGAAACCTCACAAGAAAACTTAGCCCTCTGATGGCAGGGCACCGTGGCTCACGCCTATAATTCCAGCCCTTTGGGAGGCCAAGGCGGGCAGATCACGAGGTCAAGAGATGAAACCATCCCGGCCAACATGGTGAAACCCCATCTCTACTAAAAATACAAAAATTAGCCAGGTGTGGTGATGGGTGCCTGTAGTCTCAGCTACAGGCCGTGGTGGGTGGATCATCTGAGATTGGGAGTTCTAGGCCAGCCTGATCAACATGGAGAAACCTCGCCTCTACTAAAAATACAAAATTAGCTGAGTGAGGCAGCGCATGTCTGTAGTCCCAGCTATTTGGGAGGCTGAGGCAGAAGAATCGCTTGAACCTGGGAGGCAGAGGTTGCAGTGAGCCAAGATTACACCATTGCACTTCAGCCTGGGCAACAAGAGCGAAACTCTGTCTCAAAAAAAAAAAAAGGGCCAGCTGAGAAAGGGCCAGGGCCAGCAGTGACCAACTCCTGGCTCTGAGCATGTGCTATCTTGCAGAGGGCTCTGGAAACATCCCAGAAAGTGGGGTGCATTTGGTTTCTCATACGTGCTAAGCTCTCTTTTTTTCCTACCAGCAACTCTCAATTCTTTCTCCAAGAATGGTCTCCTGGGAAAATAGTGCCCTCCGGTGGCCTTCCTCAGTGCTACACCAATGACCTCCAATGGGAAGAGTGGGATAAAAAATTCTCAACCTTCTCGGAAGTGAAAGGAACCCTAGGAACCCATCTCACCACCCCAAGTAATAATCCAGTCTATCTTCCATGGGGAAGACGAGGAGAGGAATGATGGCTTCTCAGAGACCCTTTCTAAATCCACTGCCTTCAGGATAACATTCAAAGTCCTTTTAAAAATTTATTTTATTTTATTTTATTTTTTTTTTTGAGAC